CTGTCAAGTCTGGACTTCATGCTAGATAGGATTGAAGAATCTTCTATACACAAACTTTGGTAAGTAGAATACTACTTCTTAAACTGGACAAATTTATGTTTCAAAATTAGTTGTTAATTACAATATTGTTTCCTACCCAACTGATATTTTCTTTTCTAAAAAGGATAACAAGTGAATTTGTAATTGTTTTCTATTTTTTGGCCGCGACTGTAGAAGGGTCAGTTTAGCAAGATTGTAAGTTTATATTATAATATACCAAGATCGCAAATTATCTTAAAACAAGTTTAATTAGAGACAAAGGGAGGTGCTTTAATGAGAAACTATCGGTACCGATAGTGACGATGTTGATTTATTGGGAACATTGAGAGTAACGGATTATTTATAACCAGAGTTGCGAATCCGTTCTGAGCTGGGCTCTTTTTTGTTACTGGAACTTCAGCTTTTTTAGTGTAAATAAATTTAACTGAACATTCTCGAACCACTGAACTCACCTACTTTAAAAACAACTGAGATGTATAATCCTGATTATAATTCAGCATGAAGTGTTACCAGTTTATGACAAAAATAATAAAAATAAAACGAAAATAAAATACATATAATGAGAAATTATATGAGAAATATCATTTAAAGCAATAAGAATATCATATCATCTATAAATATATAAATTAAAACATAATACGTACTGATTTGCATTGATAGCGGTTACCTCAACATCATTAATAGTTTGCGGTACCCCTAATTCAAGCTCATGAAGATATTTTTCATCAGTGCCTATAAACTTTTGAACTAAACGACCTATAAAAAATTAAATAAATTAAAAAAATTACTTTTACGTTATAATAAATCACATTATCTATATACTAACGTGTTATAGGCGTCACATACAAAGGCATCGCAAATTTTTTTGTTAAACCCACATAATGATCGGCATGGAAGTGCGTTAAGAAATAATGCGTAACCCCCGGAATTTTACCAAATTGAAAAGCATCTACTGCGAATGTGGTATGTTCAATGGTTTTATAATTTGGAATAACACGCGGCTTTCTTTTACGCGTCTGTTTGCCATTGCTTTGCTCTTCTGCCAAAACATTTGCGTCGGAAGCTTCCTTACCGTTTAGCATATTGTAGTTATCAGGATATACTTCAATTGAAACCATAGGTTCTCTTGGGTTTAAATTTGATGTTTTTTCCTGTGTAGTTATTTTTATTTCCGTAGTTAGTTTCGTTTCCAGAGTTTCATTGTTTTGATTAATAGATGTGTTATTAGCACTGATTTGTAGCGATGGCTCGCTTTTAATACTTCTTAGTGGCAATAGTGGCTGATTAGATTCTTCATCTGTGCATAGATCAATACAATCCACTACATTCACTGATGTTTCTTTTCCCTTGGTTGCACTTTTCTTACGTGTGCTTCTCACTGGAGCCTTTTTGGCCGTTGTAGTTGCGGCGTTATCTGCAATTTTAGCTTTCAATTTGACTGGTGTTTTCCGTTTGGGTTTATTAGCATTAACAACAACTGCACTTGTTGTTGTTGCATCCGACTCAGTGTCATCAACAAATAAACGCTTACGACCTTTCCTTTTGACATTGCACTCTCTTTTGGGATTTTTCCTTACACTTGTTACTTGTTTGTTTTCTTTTTCAAATGTTGTCGGCACTAAATCATGATTTACGACAAAGTTTTTGGTACTACTTTTAAAGTAACTATTAATCCGTGTTTGACTAGGGGGTAATTCCTTTTTCTTTGTTCTGGGCTTCTTTGTTATTGTTCCTTCACTATCTATCTTTTTGTCATTTGTTAATGGTGTATTGATATTTATGATATTCCCATTACCAACATCCAAAGAGACTTGAAAATTATTTTGATCATTTTTCGTTGATTTTTTTCTAGTAGCTTTTGCTGATTTATCTGCTTTTGTTTGTTTAATTACTTTTACTTCTATTAGTTCACTAATACTGCGTATTTTTAATCGCCCTATGTCCTCCATATCCCTTAAAACACTTGTAGAAAAACTAATAACTGTCAAAACACCATGGAAGTTTTGGCGCTAAGTGAGTATAGTAGATGAGATACTCGCCATCTAAGCAAATTTTATAAATTTGATTTATGCATGAATATAGTTATAATTTTCATACATATGTAAAAAACACCGAATGCGTAATGATCGATGTGAAAGATATATACAATTTTGAAAACGAATCTATGATCAAAACGAAAAATATTATATTGTTCAAATCCCTGCAAGTTAACTCGCTGCATATTACATGCAATGTCTGTTTCACGAGGTACTCGTTGTAACTATGAGCAACACTGTATATACACAAGTATATAAGAGCATCTGAGGGAGCGCTCCCTTTAACAACATAGACTTTACTCGTACATTTTATTTCAGCTTAAACTTGTGTTGATGTGTGAATCAGCTGTTTTGGTCTAAATTAAATTTTTGTATTGTTTATATGCGCGGCACTGTTGTTCTCACCAGACTCTACACAAAGCTATTCCATGAAAATCTGTGTAAAGATCATAATATATCACTTTTCGCTTAAGCTTCGTAGATGACGAGGTTTTTCGTTCCTAAAAACAGTGCTTTTTAGAATTTGTGTCTATTATAGAAGACTATGACATTAACAGATGTGATTTAACTCTCTGCATAACATGCTTTATTGACATGATCAGAAATACTGTACAACCGCTGTTTCATTCGACATCTGTCTGTCTACATAACATGGTTCTATGTTTCCAAATCGTTTTGTTCGACGGACACTAAAAAAACACTAAAAATACACTACCTTTGGGAAAAGTAAGCTAAAAATACACTGCCTACGTGAAAAGATCGTTAAATAAACCACTACCTTCGGGAAAAGAACACAGCTCGAACATTAAAAGTCGAATACAAACATAATTAAAAATTGTATTCAAAATAAAGCAAATTATATAAAAAAAATTTTATTTTTCACATTTGGACATATATATATCGTATGTTTTAGAATTATTTTGCTGATATTTTCTTTTATTCTTTATTTATATATAATATAATACATTTGGAATATATTACTGAAATTAAACACGAATGTTTTTATTCTGTTTAAATTATCATACATATCTCATTCTCGGGTTTATCTCGATAACCCGTTAAAGTTTAGTCATAAGTTCACACTACGACAAAAAAATTGTAAATAGATATGGATTTATAATTACTAGTCTAAAATTAATTTTATTTTATAAATTCAAAACAGAAATGGAGGAACGGGTGAACATTTTTAAATTACTTGGAAAAATGTTAGTGTAACAGTTGTTTATAAATAAATTTTCAAGCAAAAAGAATTGGTTTGTTTGTGTGGAAAAGTGCGGAAATATAGGTCTATTCTACTTTAGCAAGAGCCTTTAATAAGAGACTTGTAGTTTTTTTCTTCACTCTATATTAACAAAAATTTATTTTAAAATAAATTATTAATTACAGTCGTTTGAATTTAACCGATCTTCTCTGTAAATAGCTTTAGTGATATGCACCCTATACGAAAAATTCTTCAAAAACAAATGAACAAAAATACTAATAACATTTTTATTGGAAATAATACAACCCTGACTGAGAATAGAGAGAAATAGTTCAGTAGTGTAATATTTTTTATATTAGGAGGACGTGGTTGTTGTTGTTGCGGAAAATTTAATACAAAATATTTTACAATAATTAATATAATTCTTTTGTGTACGTATTTATATATTAATATAAGAAAATTGAATAAAATAACTATGGAAATAAAAAAATTACTATTTGATATATATTTTTATATTAATATTGCTAGTTTACACAAAATTGTGTGAAAATGGAAAAAATCTATAACATACGATACAAGATAGAAAAAAATGAAGTGTTATGATAGAAAAACAAGTGGAGTGTGGAGTGGAGTATAAGTGTATAAAATGAAAAGTGGAAAAATCAGTCAAAGAAATTAAAACATATTAAGCAGCAAACAAACGTAGCGCACAAAATAAAAAGAAAATTAAATATGTACAACTCCACGCGCTGTTGAGAAAATATAATAATAATATAATACAATAGTGAATTCTTAAAAAAAAAAAGAAAAGAAATCACTAAGGAATTGTAAAAATGGAATGTTTATTTGTACATAACAACAATAACAAAAACAAAACTCATTTAATAACAATAATAATTATTTTCCTACAGTTTGTGTAATATGAAAGACAATGTGTGATGAATATATTGCTTCAAATGATTTAAGCGGTTTATATATGTTAAAAGTTACACTTTAAGTTCAATATACATATATAAATTAATGGAAACTATAACAAAATTAAATTATACACAAAAATGAAAAAAATAAATTTAAATCACAACAGAATTCAATATAATTTAAAAATGTCATGAATTTTTACTTCGATAATACCCTGCATAAAAATTAAACCAGACATCCGTATAAATATATATAATAAATCATATATTTTTGGTATACTTATATGCTTATAAATATGTCTATATGTATATTATACCATAATAAAACTTTAGCTAATTTAAGTTGCTTCAGTAACGATTTAGTGAAAACGTCATCCTTTAACTTGATATCTTCGCATTAAAAAATAGCTTGTAGAATTTCTACACTCTACTTCCAGCAGCAGAGTATTAATTAAGCTAACAGATAGTGTTGTCAGATGTTTGTTGTTTTTCAGTATAAGTGGTTATTATTAGTGTTTATTACGGATGTAAACTGTAGATTCTGTGAAGAGAACGAGGAGTCGACCACACATATGCTGTTAGAATACCCTGCGCTAATGCACATACGGAATAGGCTCCTGGGAATGTATATTTTTACGGAAGAGTCAATAAAATTCTGTAAAGTAGGTCCTATACTAGTTTTTATTGCCGCAACAGGACTTAGAGACCTATTCTAAACCCAGAAGGGGACACAATAGTATATAAAACTTCATATAAATTGTTCAAGTGAACCGTTTTCAAGATATTAAAGATTTTTTGAGTGCTTATTTTTTTCGATAAAATTTCCTTTGAAACCACTAAGCAGAGTATCTCTGTAAATATTGAAAATCGGTGATTACGAAATAGATCTCGCCACTTGACAATATAATCTGCATATCATACACTGTAAAGGCGGTGCACTAAAAATATTTTTTAGTGTTTCACCTGTATAACGAACACGAACACAGAGTATATTTACAATTAGTTTAAAATCTAATCAACTGCTAAAAACAATTAGATTAGATGAAATTATTTCCCGCTACGTAAATTATTTTTATTATTTCAAATATATGCAATCTTAAACCTCCTGTTAAACCTCCTTCTACTTTAGTTTCTTATTCTTCCTTTATTATACTGCTTTATTTACTTACATTCAACCAAGTATAAAAATCGTTTTACTTTTCTCTGTTCCCCCAATTACTTCTGTCTTATTATTTTAACTAATTTTTATTTTTCTAAACTCATCTTTATATCTTCTAGTTCTTATTCTCTCAATTTTTAATTTTCATTTTATGATTTTATATCAATCTTAAAAATATGTGTTGCTCTCTTTATAACTGATTCAAACTTAAAATTAATAAGTGGCTGAAAAGAGCCACTCAGACTGATTTTGATAATACAATTGCCTACAGACAAGCTAAAGAATCCATCCAAAAGCCGCAACTACGGTGCTACTAAAGTTGAACAGAAGTGGCATCCGACTTGTCACAAGGTTTCAAACTGGCCATTGCGGAGTAATAAAGCATCTATCGAACCTAAGTATCACTAGAGACAATAGCTGCAGACTTTGTTACGAAGAATAGAAAACAGCAGAACACGTTCTGTGTCAATGTGATAGTCTCGCCAAACTCAGACTTCGGTACTTATCAACTGCCTATTCACTTATAACGGAATTAGGCAACATCTCTTCAAAGAACGTAATGAAGTTCTTAAGTGCCACTTGTCTGTTGAACTAAAGTGGGTATGTCACAATAATCTTTGCCAACTCTTCTATTCAGAAGCTTCAAGTTGGTCAAAGTCAGGCTCTCCGAAGACTCTTCAAAGTGCCATGGCACATCCACACAAATGACATGCTAAGAAACCTTAGAATAAATCCGGTCAAAAAATATATAAGGGATAGAGCCCTGAAGCTATATGCGAAAACCGACAGGCTGCCCTACTTAGCACTATCTAATCTCAGAGTAATCACTAACGGACGGGGCGGTACGCAGATCTTAGATCAGTCATTGAATGATCACGATGCTTACGAGGAATACTTAAATTACTCTGCTGCTGATATTCCCCAGCTATCAAGGAGTAAAAGTGCCCAGATGCACTAACTCGGAAAAGACTTAACATTAGACAATAATCCTCAAAGGATGCAGTGAAATGGCGACAACTTTTCAACACTTTTTAAATCAAATCTAAATCAATAGTTTTAGTTTTTATAGTATTGATTGTTCGTTTAAGAAAGCACTGCTATAAGGATCTATACCTTAGAAATGTGACTGTCTTCCAAAATCACAATAATAAAACGTTAAATAAAATTAGCAAGGAAAGGAGCTGAAAAAGCTGAAAGCCCATCAGAATTAAGTTGATAAATATTATATATCTCAATTACATCAAAAATTGATGCTTCTGCTGACATTTTAAAGTTGTTAAAATGTAGCGATAGAACTTAATTTCCGACAATAAAATATCCTTTCTTCTTTTTGCCAATTTTATTGATACAACTGCTGCTGTTGACAGTTCTTTCTCATGCAAAAGCTCTACCAAAACATGTAATTATTCATTATAGGCATCATTTTGATTTGAAGTGATATTGTAACTAATTCAGATGAAGTAATCAAACTTTTATCGTAAAAAAGTAGAAAATGATCAAAGTAAATTCTTGGTTATAAGCCTACTTAATTTCAAATCTCTTTCTTTGTTCTTGTGATATACATTGTGACCGAAAAGCTTCCGGAAATTTTAAATAAAACGCAAAATTCTTAATCTTCATCAATATTTATTTTATCTCCTTCAAAATATGCTCCATTAGAAGCGATACACAAATGCCAACGTTTCTTCCAATCATCAAAACATTTTTTATAGGCGCTTTCCGGTATGGCTTTGAGTTCCCTCTGCGAATTCTGTTTTACGTCTTCTATGGATTCAAAACGCGTTCCTCTGAGTGGTAATTTGAGTTTGGGAAACAGGAAAAAGTCACACGGTGCAAGATCAGGTGAATACGGTGGCTGTTCGATGGTATTTATTGAATGTTTGGCCTTAAAATCGTTGATAATGTTGGCTCGGTGCGAGGGAGCATTATCGTCATGAAAAATCCATGAATTATCCTTCCACAATTGAGGCCACCAAAAGCAAAGAGCTCTCACGACCGATGCCTAGCTCTCGTGCTATCTCTCTAACACTCACATGAGGATTTTGGAACACGATTTCCTTTGCCTTTTCAATGTTTTCGTCGGTGGTAGAGGTCGAAGGTCGTCCAGAACGCGGCATGTCTTCGACGGTCGTACGACCGTCCTGAAAGGCTTTGTACCACTCATAAACTTGAGTTTTCGATAAAACTGATTCCCCATAAGCCTTTTGTAGCATTCGCAACGATTCTGCACACGAAATTTCGTTCGAAACACAAAATTTGATGCAAACTCTTTGTTCAATATTTTTTTCCATTGTTTTTTTCGCAACGCACTACTGAGGTGAACTGGTTTCAACAGCTGCCGTAAACGAACTGTCTGACAGATCGCGCTCATTTTTGGCATAGTAATTAAGGACAGTGCTGCCAAACTACATAAACTTAAAATATCGAAAAATATACAGCGCGCGAATTTTAAATGAGAACCTCCGAAAACTTTTCGGTCACAATGTATGTATTGTTTCCTTTTCTGTATCTCTGCTTAAATTTTCATTACAATATCCAAACGTAACAAAAATTTACAATATGCAGATGTGTTTTTTAAGTTTCAACTAAATATTGTTTATTATATATATATTTCATATATTCATATCTATTAAATATGTTATTATTTAGATCACATTTTCTAGGCGATTTATAATGTGTATTTAATGAAAAATATTTTAATATATTTTCCGATATCTTGTTTTTGGTCGATAAATTATTTTATTAATAATTATTTACCATTGCCTTGATTTTGTAGGGTGTTTATTTGTTTCACTAAAACTGCTTAAATTGTGTGATACATGAGCCAACGAATACTTTTGCACAAAACTACCAGTGACTAAATTTAATTGTAGACGGTTAGCGGCTGTTATTAACTTAATGAAAAAATATGCATAAATAGTAAAAAAACATGTTTTCTCATTTTTTAATAATAAATTTATTTATACATATGTATATATATTAAATACTTTTTATTTAAATATAATATCCATAGCAAATAAATTTAAATTAATTTTTTTATTTTGTTTATTTATAAGACCATAAAGATTTTAAAGTAAAATACTAAAATTTGAAAAATCATTTAATTATATACAAAAATGTTTATATATTATTATTTCATTTTGTTTATATATTACACATGTTCTTACCATATTCAGAACATGTCTCTATACAATATTACTTTGAGCTATCTGCATATATGTATATAACATATCTACACATTCCAGCATTTGTGTTTTCAGCTGGAAAATTATTTATTTCCCCTTAGTTTCAATATTTCGTGATTTTCATGTGTATTCTGAGTAATTTTGTTTTATTACAGATATATCTAAATTTT